AAGCAAGCTTCTTCAAAAAGGAGATATAAACATTTATCCATTGAATAATATTCTCTTCTGTTTTCAGAGTTGGAAAAGAGTGGCAATAAACCTCTGGTGTTGCTCCATCCAGCACTGCCCAGAGAGAGGAAGTGAACCAGATGTGATGGGACACTGACATGCAGCACCCACTCCAGACTGGCACAAAGGGTTAAACTTTTCTCCTCTGATTTTCAGGCAACTGGAAGTTACTGATATATTCAGCTAACAGGAAGTTTTGATATCCAGCCCTTAACTGCTCAGCAGCCCCATGCATAAAAGGTTTTGTTTAGCTCCTTGCCCTAGGCAGAGCAGAGCAGAGCTGCCCAAGGCCTCAAGCTGAAAGGTGCCAGAGGAAAGGTATCCTGAGTTACTCTGACCTTGCCAGAGGAACTGCCTGGGTGCAGCATGTTTGACTCCTAGCAGCTGGATGTTCCATGTGGCATGAATGGAGGTGCTCAGCTAGAGAGAAAATATGAGAAATATGGATGAATCTGTGTCAGGAGAGAAAGAGAGGTACAATGGAAGAAAAGGAAAATGTCAGAAGTGCTAAGCAAAGTGGAATCCCAACTCTGTTAAACGTTGGTGACCAAGGTCCTGCTGTCTTCAGTAGGATGATTTTACCCAGGGGTTAAGAGAAGCAGCTCAAAACTACCAAGATGATTCAGAGCAGGCGGAAACAGAGAGGTCTGCTCAGGGCTGCAGTAACTCAGCCAGCAGCTGCCAGCTGGGAGCATTTGGCCATGGGCATGACAGGTGCCATAATCTCCTGTCATCATGTACTTTGTATCTTTGATTATTTAGAGATCAATAGACTGACATGTAAAGAAAAAGATATGTTCAATAGGACACTTGACATCAGAAGCTTCTTATATGGGAAGGCTTTTATATAGATAAAACATCCCTATCAGACACGATGAGCTCCATGGAGTTCAAGATTTTAAGGCCTGAAGTAAACATTACAACCTTCTAGCCTGAACTTCGAGATAAAATAGGCTACAAAACCAAATAATTTCTGCATCAGGTCAATATCTTCTGGATGAGTTATAGATAATCTCTTAAAAACTTTCAGCCTTGATTTGAAGACTTTATATGATAGACAGAATTTACAATATCTGTAAGCAGGTAGCTCTGGTCAGTCTTCGTGTCTCAGCAGTTTTGATTAATACAGCAAGTGCCTCTTCTTGTCGTATTAGCATTATCATGTTTTATATCCATCTACAGTGCAACATATGGTGGAAGGATAATGTAAAAATGTCCAGTGACTGTGACTTCAGTAGATCACCAGTGCTCTCCAAAGTTTAAGAATACAGCTAAAATAAAAACATACTAAGAGAGACTTTTATTCAAAGTATTTTCCATATATAAGTTTTGAAAGGAGACAGGCAGGAGCTGCATGTACTTCCACTGCAGAGGAGACCAAGATAACTGATATAGTGCTGGAAAAAACCCAAAAGCCATTGTAGAGGAGATGGAAGAGCACAGGGAGATTAGGTGTTTGGATCATCAGAGAATCATAGAATGTTTTGGGTCAAAAGGGACCTTAAAGATCACTTAGTTCCAACTCCTCTGCTATGAGCACGGATATCACCCACTAGATCAGGGGCTTCAAAGCCTCTCCAGCCTGGCTTTGGACACTTCCAAGGATGGGGCATCCACAACTTCTCTGGGCAACCTGTTCAGTGCCTCACCACCCCCTGAGTAAAGAATTTCTTCCTAGCATCTAATCCAAATCTCTCCTCATTCAATTTAAAACCATTCCCCCTTGTCCTCTCCCTGTCCATCATGTAAAAAGTTACCCTCCATCTTTTTTGTAAGGCACTTTTATCCACTGAGGTCTGTCTAGACAAAGACAGCTTTGAACCCAGTGCTGACAGAGACAACAATTCCATGGTTCTGTAATAGAAATGGAGGAGAAATAACACTCCTTTAGAGACTAAGGGGTTAACAACAAAAATTGCTTCTACTGAGATTCAAGTTGTCCATGGACACAGGAGAAGGCTGAAGTAAAGCTAAGACTGAAGAAAGAACCAAGTCAGCCCAATACGTGTGCCTGGATGAAGGACAGATTTGCAAATAGGAGAAGTGGAAAAGTTCAGCCCCAAAGATAAGACAGATGAACTAAGGAAGAAGAAAAAGGATGAGCTGGATCAGAAAAATGTGAGAGAATTCAAGGTTTCTAATGTTTCTCTCCCCAGGAAACCATCTGAGTCATGTAGCTGAGGAAAGCTCAAATAAAGCCAGAATTTCTTGTGGTCACGACAGGGTGAAAATGTTGCGAGAAATTTGTTAGAGAGGTATTGAAATACAAGTAAGTATTACTATATAAGAAACTCCAGTATATATCAACAAAGCCCCTATGTCTATACCTTTATATCCTGACAGTGGTCAGAGCATTAACTTTGTATGAACTACTTCTAATCACCGTCAAGGAGGGTAAAAATGATAAAGGTGACACACGCTGTGGAGTGGACCTCAGGCTGATAAACTCTGATGGGCTTGTCAAACTGGGCTCTGTGTTTAGCTTGAGCTAGAAAACCCAAATAACCCACATCCTTGTACCTGTCCTTCGTCAGGGATGCAGAGCTGGGTCTGAAGGAAAAAGAGAGAAATAGTGGTGCACAAAGAGCTGCCAGAATATGGACTCAAGTTGAGAAGCACCACCCATGCATATCCACACCCTGTGTGAGCTCTGGGCAGTTCTTTAGGCAGAACAACAGTGTGCACCTCCTCACACTGATGCTGGTACCAAACAGAGGTACTTACAACATTTCAGAGGGCTTTAGACCTGGTGGGTTTAGTTCTACAGAAGACTGCATCTTGTGGCCACATAATCCACACAATGTTGTTCTGATTCAGAGATGTTTGGGGAGGAACTGTTTCTGGAGAACTTGAGAATTAGAGAAATCATAATAAAGTTCTGAATGATTTATTGGCAAAATGATAGCTTGAATTTTTACCCTAACAGACCCTGTCATGCTGAGGCACAGCTTGTGTATCTCCAGGTTGAATGCTGGGGAAGGAAATTGCATACCATACCTGGGAAGCCCTAATGGGGTGGGACAGATGTCAAACCAAGTATTGGTTAATGCAGACAAGACACAACCAAAGTTTGAGGTGGTAGTATTGTCTCATATGTCCCTGACAAGGCGTGTAGTGCAACACCTCCACCCTCTAGGATCAAAGCTGGCTGCTCAAGGTCAGCTCACTGGTACAGGCAGTTGTTAGGAAAGACCTGGAGGGACCCTCAGCAGAGGCTCCTCTCTCCTCTGCTTGGCAGCTGCTTTTTAACTGAGGGTCTCGTTTCTGGCTCTGTCTGAGCTACATGCCTGTACCAGGCCATGTACCTACTGATCTGGACCCCCACTCAGGGACTTGATTTCATCACCAGAACTTGGAGCTGCCTCATCCCCATCAACTTGTCTGGTGGTCTGGACTGAAGGCTGAGTCTGGATACTGCCCACAACTGCTCTGCTTGCCTTGCTCAGGTGCAGTGAGATAGGGCAGGCCTGCTCTGATGATTCCTAACAAATTTTGCTCCCAGCTTCCTGTCTGTTAGAAAACAGCTGGCCACTCCAGTGTCCTGGAAGTCTTCATTCGCTTCTTGTGAACCATTTCCATCTCTGTGGAGACAGGAGTTTCTTTAACATAATGGCTGGGAATAAGACTACCTTGCTGCTCTAACATGAGACAGTCTCAGCAGTCCTGCCATCACAGTGGAGGTGCCCTTGGTTTGCTCAGGGAAGGCATGATTTTCGGCATCTGCAGCAGCCCCAATTCTTTGGCTGGCCAAGACTCTAAACCAGGATTTCCAAAGTATGCAGGACATGCCCTTTGGGGAGTCCAAAACACTTGTGGCCTGGACAGAGAGCACAAATTTCGGCAACAGTCCCCTGCCCTTGTTTCATTATGCACCTGGCAATGGAGAGTCTTCTCCAGAGACCTCCTGGACAGCTTTCTTCTGGGGACAGGTTCCCCTTCATGGGAAGACTGGAGCCATTTAGCCTGATGAACCCCACCAGAGGCCTGCAAAGCAGAGAAGAGAGGAATACGGAGCTGCTTCTCCTCGAAGCTGAGGCAGAAGATGAACTTTTCATGCTGATCTGGAGCTACAGTCCCAGCCCCAGTTTGGTATTCTGCTTATTAACCGGCCCCATGAGCAGACTGCTGACTGCTATCATACGTGGGCTAGTGGAGCTCTTGCCTCAGGTGGAGTGAAACGGGAAGTCTTGGGCTTTCTCTTAGTTTAATGTCTGTGGTTGGGGTAATGCTGGCAGGAATGAGGTGTGGGCTATCTTGCCCACAGATGATAAAAGGCAAGTTAATGAGGAACTGTGTGGTTCAGAAACCCTGCTCTTGGGCGTGGGTCTAGAGAGTCCAAGCAACTGTTTCACCTTCTCTGATGGCATGAAGCTGAATGCTTCTCCAACGTGCAAAGCTTTCAGCTCTGTATTTTTAAGGAACACTGCTCAGTTTTAATTCTTAGCTTATCTCCGAGGTCCCTAATTTCTCTTCTGACTTCGTATTTATCTCAGAATATGGGATGAGCAAGAAAGCCAGGGAGCCCGTGGTTTCCCTTCACGTAAGCCTTGCGCATCTCTCCTCCAGGGCCGGTGCCCCACGCCGTGCGTGTTTATGAAAGCAGGGATGCCTCCATCCCTCCCTCCCTCCCTTCCTAACCCCACCTCCCCAGCACGGCTGGAGGCGAAGCGGGGCCGGGGCCTGCGGGGCCGGGCCGGCCCTTCTTTGCGCAGGGGCGGGCGGCAGCCCCAGTCCGCTGGCGGGCACCGGCCCCAGCCCGCCGAGCAGCGGCCCCGCCGTCGCCGGTGCCGGCTTTTTGGCATCCCTAATCGCGGCTGGCCCCTGTGATTGGCTGCGCGGCTCTGACCCCGCTCGGGCTCCCGGCTGGGCGGATAAAAGGGGCCTGAGCCGGGGGCTCCCAGGCATTCCCGGAGCGGGCACCAGGGACCGCTGGCCGCAGCATGACGGGCAAAGCGGGCGCGGCGCTGGCCCCCAGCCTGCCCGGCAAGCCCAAGCCCGACGGCGCGGCCGCCGCCCCCGCCGCTCCGCCACTGCCTCCGCCGCCCCCCGCGGCTGGGGTCAAGTCCAACTCTGGGCCCACCCCTCCCCGCTGCACCGGCTTCGGCATCCAGGAGATCCTGGGCTTGAACAAGGAGCCGCCGTCGCACCCTCGGGCCGCCCTGGACTCTCTGCCCGCCGGGCACCTGCTGGCAGCCCGTTCCGTACTCAGTCCCGCCGGGGTGGGCGGCGTGGGCATGGGGCTGCTGGGGGCCAGCGGCATCCCCGGCTTTTACACCCAGCCCACCTTCCTAGAGGTGCTCTCCGACCCCCAGAGCGTCCACCTGCAGCCCCTGGCCCGGGCCCCCGGGCAGCTGGACAGCAGCCAGACGGCCAGCTCAGGTAGGCACGTCCCCGGCCCCCGGGGACCCGCCGCGCCCCACCAGCGCCTCCGCCCGCACCCAGCAGCCGCCCGCACCCGGTGTCCCGGCGGGAGGCCGCTTGCTCGGTGGAGGAAGGGAGATTTCGTTTCGATCCCGAGAAGGAGGAGAAGGGCGAGCGGGATCGTATTTTCTCCCGTCCGGGGCTGCGGCCGTGGTCTGATGGCGTGGCCCCGGGCGCCCGACCTAGGGATGCGCAGAGCCCCGTCGGAGCGGCCCCTACGACCCCGTGTCGTTGCCAGAGAATTAGGGGTCTTTCGGCATCCTTTTCCTAGACGGCAGCAGCCTCCCACAACTCTGTCTGCAGGCCCCGTTCCGCGGCCGCTTCGGGTCCGCCTGGCAGGCAGCAGCACCGGACCCTGGCTCCAGGTCAATCCCCGGCCTCCCTCTGGCATCGGCGCCCGTCCCGGGCCGTGCCCGTCGCCCCTGCCTGCAACACGGCCAGCCGAGCAGCACGGGCCGAGGCCGGGGCCGGGCCGGTGGCGCGGCGCCGCGGGCAGGAGTGGAACCGGAGCGCGCATCGAAATACGGGTCCCTGATCCGTCCCCCGGCTGCTCCTTCGGGGCAAAGGCGGCGGCGTCCTGCCCTTAACACCCCAGGGGCCGTGGCATCCCTGGGGAGCCGGGGGCCGCGGATAGGCACCAGCTCCTCCCGGGGCTCTTTTTTTAGCTCCATAAACCTCAATTTCTCCCTCCCCGCTCCGGTGTTCTGCGGCGCAGTCCGGGATCCCCGGGCTGGGGCAGGCGGTCGCGGTTGCCCGGCCGCGGAGATGGGGCTGCAGCTTTCCCATTTTCCTACGGTTTGGTTGAGCTCACGGGGCTCTGCGTTTTAGCAGCGAGGCAACAGCAGCCTCAGCAAACGACTCTGATGGAGAGAGGCGAGAGCTAGAGCCCGGTCCCGGCCCGGAACCTTCCCTGCCTGAGGCGCATAGCCCCAAGCTGCCCGCACTGGATCGGGAGCGGCGCTGGGGCCGCGCTGGAGGGAGCGGCCGGCGTCGGGCCCCGTCCGCGGCGCGATCGCAACGAAATCTTCGGCCAGAGCCGGCGGAGGGAGCGGAGCCGGCGGGCCTGGCCCTACCCGGGAGGACTCTGGCGTGGAGCGAGCCCCAACCCACAGCCGCTGCCTGTCTTTCCGCAGATTCCGAGGATGTCTCCTCCAGCGACCGAAAAATGTCCAAATCCTCCCTAAATCAGAGCAAGAAACGAAAGAAGAGGCGGCACAGGTAAGACAGCGGCGGCCACCCCGCCCGCTCCCCTCAGTCTCCTCAGTCCCCAGGGAACCGGTCACCGGCGAGCTCCGCCGCCCCGGAGGGGACGACTCGCTCCGGCCTGGAGCAAAATATTCTTCCCGGCACCGGCCGCCGGAGCGCCCCGGCGGCGCCCCTGCGGCTTCTCCAACGGGGAGAAGCCTTTATTCTTTCTCCCCGTCCAAAATAAATCGGATATGGGGACGTGCCTATAGGGAGTGGAGGATTCGACCACAAGTGTAATTTTATTTAATTTTTTCTGGCTGCGGATCCAGGTATCCCTACTCGCAATCCTGAGCAGCCCATGAGCTGCGGTGGAACGCGGATCATGAGAGTTTGGAAGGGAAAATCATCAACCTGTCAGAAATAATAAAAGCGGTTTCCAGCTTCACATACAATAATCTTAATATTGGCTGTCAGCAAGGCAGAATTCCTATCAATAATTTAAATATTTTGTTACGTAGAAATAAATATTCTGCCAACAGATTAAATAGTTGGGAATCAAGGAGACAGCCTGTAAAGAAGCTGAAGAAGGCTGGGAAACTGTTTAAGGAAACGAAGGTCCACTTCACGGTCAGGGTAATAGCCTTTGCCTGACTTCTCCCACAGTTAAAATGGAGTTGGTTTGTTTGTGCTTTATAAACTGAAACGAAAAATCCTTTGCTGGGTTCTGGCGTTGCTGTGGCCAAAGCGCCAGGACAAAGGAAGGCTAAACACCATCCACTGAGGGTGATTTAGGAATAATTAAATCAATCCTGCCACGATGCAGGAAAGGTGGATTAAAAGATGCTCCAGTGAAAGCTTAGCAGGATGCAGGGTGGAAGGAGACCGACTATCCCAGGAGACATCCTACTATGTGTGCAACAGGAGGCTCGGTCTGGAGGGGTCGTTTCCAAACCCGGGTCCCCTCTCCAGGCAAATGTTCCCAGTTTAGGTGCTCTGGAGTAAGTTACAAGTTCATTTTCTTTACACCTCAGACAAGGCTGGGTGATAACACAGCTGGGACTGGTGTACAGGTCCTGATCTGGATGAGAGATAGGAAATGAAATTCAGATTTGTTTTGTTTTTAGTTCTAGACAGAAACAGACCTACAGCATTTGGCTGTAGGTTGTATATTCCGTGCTAAACAGTTAAGACTTCTGATTGTACCAAAGAAGAGCTGGAAGATGACTGACCAATAGCCTGCAAATATCTGCAGGACAGAAACAGCAAAAGGGGCAGTGGATTGTGAATTGCAAAAGGGACAGGGACTACCCAGGCATGAGCTAATAAGGGAAAACTTCAGCTGAATATCGGCAAAACCCTCCCGCCGGTGAGCCTGGACAGGCTTCTGCGCTCTTGTCGGAGGAAGATGGAGGGGAATGATTGAAATCTAAACGGGATCAAAATTGGAATAATTTTTCCTGTAGTCCCAGAGAGAGAAAATACATGATTCAGTGTGCCTCTGCTGTCCCTAGAGTTCACAGATTTGTCAGAGTTGAAGAAAAACTGTTTGAAAAGAGAATGGATTTAAGAGTGAATTTAAGGAAGGGTCTGATTGCAGGCAGGTTCCTTGCATTTGCATGCTGCTTTTGTTAGTAATATTATCCATCTGGTGGAATCTTTTTAATTCTGTGTACGGGAGGATATTTCTGATATTTTCTGTTTATGCTCTCTGAAACTGAAAGGCTTTTCTGAAATTTGAGTGTATTTTTGAAAAAGACTCTATTTCCTCTTTCCTTCTGGGAAATACATATTTCTTAGATTGATGGTAAATTTATACATTTACTTTGCACAAGAGCTGCAATTCGTTGTTGGGTTGAGGGTTATTTTATTTTGGTTTGATTTTTTGGTTGAGGTTTTTTGTTTGCTTTGGCTTTTTTGTTGCTTTTTGGTTTGGTTTTTGTTTGGTTGGGTTTTTTCTTTGTTGTTTAGGGTTTTTTTGCCATTGCAGTATTGTTACCTTTTATCAGAAATTGTGCTTTCTGTACTGGAGGAGTTGAAGAGTGGGAGTTTTAACCCTCAGGGAGTGGAAGTGTTCCGAGACTTCTCATCCATCTGCTAGAGAAGGGCTTTCATCTGTCTCGGCTTTCCAGCTGCTGATTTTTCAATTTGGTTGTCCCAAACTGAGAACTGGCTGCGTGGAGGAGGGTTGGGCTGCTGCCTGCCCAGGGTGGTGCAGGAGGATTTCTAAAGGATAATGGGGTAATGCAAAGTGGCAGGGAACAGCTAACGGGATGTTGGAGTGGAAGCAGCCGGGGTAAAGGCAGAGGAAGGGAGCTGGTCCTGACTCTCATGGGGAATAACTGGTGAAAAGTGGTGGGTTAGGGTGGAGAAAACATTTGGAGAATTTGTCCAAAGGCTGAGACTCAAGATGAAGAATTATTTGCTCGTGGAGATTGACGAGGCTAAGGACCAGCAGCTGGGAAAGGGCTCAGCATCTCTGCAGACGAGGTGCTGAGAGGACATGCTTCATCTCAGTGTGATGATCCTCACAAGAGGCAGCAGAGCCTAAGATCAGCTGCCATCACTGCGGGTGCTCGCTGCTGGGGAGGCACTGTCTCCAGAGGCAAGTCCCTGAAAGGGAAGGTGATTTGTAACTGTTAAAAATGCTGTCTTCTGGCATTTTCTGGTTCTCCTTTCACCCTGGCACTTGACCTTTTGTGCACAGAAACACAGTAGGTGGGGAAGAGCTATGTATTAGTTGGTTACCCAGGTTTCACTGTTTTCAGTGTCCATTTCTCTGACTCTTCATCATCTTTGCTGCTTCTTGTGTTTTGATCAAAGAGTTTTACTCCCCTCAGGACAATCTTCACATCCTATCAACTGGAGGAGCTGGAAAAGGCCTTCAATGAGGCTCACTATCCTGACGTATATGCTAGAGAGATGTTGGCCATGAAAACAGAGTTGCCAGAAGACAGGATACAGGTAATCATATCTCTTGGACCCCCTTATTGTGCTGCTCCCAGCCATGTTCATCCCTCCACGAAGAAAAGCTAGCAGCATGGGAAGGCTGACATTTTTCTAAATAAACTTTCCCAGGCTGTCCACTCTCTGCTTTTGATTGGTAGTCAGACAGATCAGATATTCTTGGCAGATTTGTATTTGGTGTTTGTATGCCGACATGTGCTGTGCATGCTGTGTTGTACCAGTGATTTGAGGAGTGTATAGCAGAGAATCCTAAATCAGAGAAGGGCAACAGGCCTACAAAAAAAGATGACAGCATTTCAAGGTCTTGGTAAAAGCAAAAAGAGAGCCTCCCAGAAACCATGTCTGAGTGGGCATTGCTGAAGGGAAGGAGCTCATCTCTGCTCCTTTGGCCACAGAAGGATGCAGAGGGATGGCGTGGGCAGCTGGTACAGTTGTGGGTAGGATGCAGTGTAGGAATGATGGGTGAGTCCCAGTGACATCTTTGTACCATGTCTGTACTTTGATTGTATTTACCTCCTCAAGTGATGTTTCCCCGAAAGCTTCTGGGGATAAAGTTTTTTTCCCGTTAATCTGTTAAATTTTATTAAGTTAATAGCTTTTAACATTGAGGTTTTAGCTGTATGTCAGTCCTGTCATGCTACTGTGAGGAGGTGTGGAATATCACTGTTGTATGGTGAATCCTCCAGCAGGAAGGAGCAGCCTGAGCTGCAGGGCTGGGCCAGGACCAGCCTTTGCCATGCATTACAGCCAGAAAGCTGGGAAAGAATGAACAGCTGCTGTTTACAGTGTGGGATGCACACTGGACAGAGATAATATCATATTCACAAGGGTGGGCTCCAGCAGCTTCTGTCACCTCACTTTACCCCATGGATTGCTCCCATCAGGTTTTTACACAAGGCACAGGATTGTAATGGCCAAGCCTTGAGCAGGTGGAGTTCTGGTCTGGCTGGAAGTTTAACTGTCCTGGCTCTCCACACAGTGGCAGTGGCTGGCCTCTGTGACTGATGCATGGTTTCTACAAGAGACATTGTCCTTTGTGCCATGAGGTGTTGGGAGGGCCCTGGTTTCCCTGGTTCCTCCTTCTGTTTATCCCTCATGCATGCCCAGCACTCACCAAGACGTGTCTTGAGCTTTTGCTCTTTCTTTGCTGAAGAGATGGCCCAGGAGGCTGCTCTCTTATGTGTTTGGAATGTAGCTCAGAAGGCAGGATAACACTGATGCTGGAAGCTGCTGAGGTATGACCCCATGCAGGGACAGGAAAATCCTCCAAAACAGAAGTGTAGCCTTTTTTCCCTCGGTCCTGAGCCCCACTCACCACCCTTATGCTTGTGCTCAATCAAAAATGACATCTTTATATAAGCAACTCGTGCTTCTTATCCTATTGACTTGGCAGGACTCCTGCTGATCTAACAGCTTGTAGATAACCTGTGTGCTAACAGAATTTCCACCAGCCTTCAGAAATAATGGCCCATCATCTCAAATTCTGCCTGATGCATTAGGATTTTGCCCTGAGAAACAAGCCCTGATGCTTTGCCTTCAGAAAGAGTGAAGTGGATGGATGGTCACTTTTCCACATGTGATCCTGTAGGACATCAGGTCAAGAGAGGGTCGACTGTTGGGAGTTTATTGTTGCCTACAGCCACCATTTGGTGCTGGGCTGGAAAGAAGATCCTTTGATTTCCCACAAAAGACCTTTTCAAGGAAGAGGTTCATCTAGTGGCACAGTGTATGTTGAATTCCTGAGGCCCCATTTCTCTGGCTAGAGCTGAGAGCATTCACTCTGTGTGAGGTGGAGTGAGATGTTGTGGCAGACAGGGTAGAGCTGACACAGCTTGCATGGCTTCAGCACCTGGAGCACCCTTCTAGTGCTGAGTGTTTGAACTGATTTAAAAATGAAATAGCAGGTAAAGCATCTTAGCTGTCACTGACTTGCCTGCCCTGTCATCTTGCAGCTGGCTAATGAACAACTGCTTACTCTTCCTGTATTGCAGCTTTTAAACCTAGGAGGGCTCCTTACCGGGACCCTTCTGCTCCTGAGATCAAATTAGACTTGGACAGCAGAAGCACCCCGATGTATGGCTGTTCTGAACATCAGGTGTAACTAATGGCGTTGTATTCCAGAAAAACTGATTGTGAATAACAGTTTTGCTGATCATGAAAGGGGAAATAATGAGAAACAACAGAATTTCTGTAGCATCTGTTCAGCACCTTGCCAGGGTGAGCATCAGGCTCACACAGGAGTCCTGAGCACCACTGTTCTTTCCAATTAATCAGCAGTAGGTTGTCCCTTACCACACATTCTATGAAATTTCCTTGTCCGTATTTTTTGTGTGTGACAAGCCATGGCAAGGTGATTCCCAACTTTGATCATACTACTTACCTCCTATTTTATTATAGTTTACCTCCTATTCCTTTTCAACTTTGGATCTTTTTGTTATGAGCCTAATTCTTTCCGCCGGTTATAAAGTTCACGCTCTTTAAATAAATCTAAGATATTTCTTCTCCTGGCTGTCACTTGTGGTTTTCATCATTGCTTAAGCAAGTTGCAAGTATCTTTCCTTAAATCATCCTTCATAAATCACATGCTCATCTCTTAATCATGTGGTTGTTCTTACATGAAGCCCATCCTGTCTGTCAGCTTTCCTGGAGATAAGGGACCACATACCTACAGCTGCATCACACCAGCTCAGCTGGAATTGTGGTCCCTTGCAGAAATAGTCTTGGATTAGCACTGGTTTGCTTGCTCCTTTATTTATTTCTATTTATCTAATTCAGTCACTTCAAACTTCTTTTAGACATATTTTGTTTTATGCTCAGGATTTTCCCTTCAGTGTTCTGGGTGTCATATGGAATTTGGTAACTTTGGCTAACAAGCATAATAACAGCCCTACTAGCTCTGAGAGTGGCAAGAGGTGTATGCTACACAGGGCAGCTATCTACTGAGTAGTACTCAGGAGATACTGAGTACTCTGGCAGCCTCCTGGGATTTTGAATGCATGTAAATAAATATCTTAATATCCCATGGCAAGAAGTTCTGCAGCAGAACAGCCTGAGTGCAGTAAATCTTGCTTTGAATCTTTTAGCATCATTTAATGCCCCTTGGAAGAGACAACTTACAATGAATCTTTACTCCCATCTTCATAATATTTATAATTTTACATCATTGCGTTTTTTTCCTTGCACAAGTTTCTAGCTGCCTGAGGGAGCTCTATAGTTTTGCATTTTCATTGTTGCTTGTGGTTTCTCTCGTCTTTCAGCAATGCTCTCTCCCTCTTGTAGGTCATTAAGGAAAGTGTTTTCTAATACTGTTGTAAGCATCACATGTTGTGGACTTCTACAGCATTTCATATGGTTTCCCATTGGATCCTCACCTAAGACTGATATCTACCCCTTATTTTCAATCATGGAATTATTTCTCAGGAGGTATTAGTCAAAGAGAAAGTAAATCACCTATGAAATTTGATGTGAAAGTGAAATTCAAAGAAGGCAATTGAAAGAATGATATATAGGAACTGTTTGCAGGTAAAGCCTTCAGCAGAACACTACAAATAGCCATCAGAGGCCAAGCAAGTTACTGGTTTAAGAGAACATTGAATACAAGAAAAAATATTCAAACCTCCCTTTAAAGAGAAGATGAAAGTGTGGGTTTTTTTCCAAGGCAGACACACACTGTGTATGTCTTACTCCCACACTGAGCTGGCTGCTCCTGGAAGTAAAATAAGCATCCTCCCATTGGGTGGCATGGGAAAATAATTTTTTTCATAGTGAGATACTATGCACAAATCAGATCAGATGTCATTGTAGCCATTTTGCAAGATATTTGAAAAAGACCACATTAATCAATGTATTTGAAAGAATATTCATAGGAGTTGAAGTGCCAGTATTGGAATAAATCCAGACTGTTCTGTAAAATCCAAGAGAGGTAAGTAGATTCCTGTGGGGAAGTACATCCTTAATAAACATTATGAAGTATTAAAAATGTCCTGAGGCTGACAAATACTGCAACATCTGACTTAAATCACTATTTCTTGTAACAAATCTCATAAGTGTAATGAGTAGATTTTATATAAGTTGTCCCTATTGAATTTATTAATACGTAACAGTTCCAAAGTTTAAACTGAGTAGTTACAATGTTAAAGTTCAGTAAGAGCTTGATTTGGGGATTATTGAAATGATTGTGTATGCTTGTCCTTAAAGTATGTCTCCTACTGATCAAAAAATTGATTAATCAGTATTTCAAAAAAATAAGATCCTGATCCCATTGTAGGGACATGAGAGTCACCTTTAAAGAGAAGTAATCAATTTTAAAAGGTAATAAAGCTGCTAAAAATTGTCAGTTCTTGTTGTTAAAAGATTGTATGGTAATTACTGGATGACAAATTTTGGGACAAATAAAATTGCTCACATAAGCAAAAGGAATCCCAAGAAAAGGCTGGCGCTGTGTGTGGAGTGGGAATTGTCTGTGCACCCAGCAAGCTTTGTCAGGCAGCTAAGAGGCCAATTCTGGCTAAAAAAAAACCAAGGTCAACTAAATCTTTAACTGAAAAAGTATTGGTTTGGCTATCAGATTAACACATTTCAGTATAACTGTGAAGCCCTTTAGGAGTTGAACAGGGATGGAGGAATCAGAGGAGTAATCATTTAGAGGGAAGTAAGCACCAAGGGTATTTTGCAAGGACAGAGGCTTACCTTGCTTCAGTTTTGCAAAACGCTTCTCTGTTTAGAGATGAACATAATTTGACAGGGCCTGAGAAACCTGTACTGCACCGAGTGTGAGCTCAGGAGTGAAGGCACGGAGTCCCCTTAAGAAACATGATAGAAACCATGAAGGAATAATTTGTTTTATGCAGCTTTAGCAGCCCTGCCTTCTCCCTCTCTTGCCAGCTTTTCCTACTTGCTGCAGAGTGCTGAGGTGCAGTCTGAATCCCATGGTGTAAGTATGGAATGCTGTGATTGCTCCATGCAGTTAGTGACCTTTCCTGAATGTGTGCCTGGAA